TGGACTTCAACTCCCAGAATTCCTCAGCCAGCGTTGGCCACTTTAAGACGGGTGGACTTCAATTCCCAGAATTCCTCGGCCAGCGTTGGCCACTTTTAAGACTGGTGGACTTCAACTCCCAGAATTCCTCAGCCAACACCTGGTGCAGCTGCTTGCAGCCCCCGCCGGGGCAGACACCCCCCCCCCCTTTCCAGGCTAGGCCTTGCCGAGAGGGCACCTATGGTCACAGGGGCCTCCAAACTGGGACCCCCTTTAAGACTGGGGGGACTTCAACTCCCATAATTCCTCCTGGCTTTGGATACTGGCTCTGCTGGCTGAGGAATTCTGGGAGTTGAAGTCCACCTGTCTTAAAGGGGCCAAGCTCTTGAATATCATATCATTGCTGCCCTTATAAACAACCCGGCTCAAAAACGTGGCTGGACGATGCAAACACCCCGATGACCAAACCCCCCCCCCCCCAAAAAAATCCCCTCCCCTCCCCCCCAAGTCATATCTCCAGAATCAGCTGGGGACCCCCTGGCCGGCTTGCCCAGTTGGAGGGCCGGCTGGTATGTTGGGAAGGCTGGTCCCAAGGCCAGGCCTGGCATTAAGGGGCAAGGTGGCCTCCGTGGCAGCGTTCTCGGGGGGGGGGCTTCAATTTGGATTTCCTGGGGGGCACTGAGAGACCCCCATGGGATCCTGGGAGAAATAGGGGATCCTCTCCTGGCTAAGGGTCCCGAGGGCGAGGGGGGGGTGTCCCCCTCTGGGATCTACACAAGGAGGGTTGGTCCTACCCAGAGACTCCTGGGAAGGCAGCCCCCCATCCCCCCTCCTGGAGGGTCCCCTGGCAAGAATTTGGGCAATTTCTAAGCCCCTCCCCAACCCAGCAGGGGCTTTGCTGCCCCTCTTCCTCCGCCAGTCCATCGTTGCCGTATTGGGGGGGGGGTACGGCGTCCCGAACCGGCCAGTGGCCTTCCCCTCCGCGACTTCCTGGAGAGGCTGAGGTGGAGCGGCCTCTTGGGGGGAGGGGAACGTGCTGTCCATGTCCTCCTCTGTGGGGGTGGGGTGGGGGGGTCAGCAAGCCCCCTCCTGCCGGGGATTACTGAGAGCTGGGCTGGAGATGCAGGCATGCTGGGAAATGTTCGCCAAACGGATTACTGGGGACGGGGGGTTTCGTGGCAGGAGGGTGTGAGGTAAATTTCCTGCCATCAAGTTTGGTGCAATCCACTTTGAGTTTGTATCTATTGTGTGCTCTTGTGTTGTTATGGTTGACAGGTATTGATTGACAGGTAGGATGTTGCAACGTATGATTTTATAGACCATACTTTGATCGGACCGAAGACGACGTAATTCGAGGTTTTCTAGGTCTAGAATTTCGAGTCTGGCGGCTTAAGGTCTTCTACAACAGTGGCCCCCAATCTTTTTTGAACCAGGGACCGGTTTCACGATTATTTCTTCTTCCACGGACCGGTACCTGAGTAACGCGAGTAACTCCACCGCCATCGGGACGGCTCTTCGTTCGAAGCCGCCGCCCCCTTCGACAAAACTAAGGCACGAGCACCCAAACGCCGCTTTCCAACCGAAAACCCGGAAGCGCCGTCGAAACAAGATGGTGGCGCCCAAGCTTTGCGGCCCGGTAAAAAATGATCCACGGACCGATACCGGTCCAGGGACCGGTGGTTGGGGACCCCTGTTCTACAACGAGTAGAGGAGCGGAGAACTCTTCTTGTGAAATATTTCTGGACTTTCTCAACTGTGCTAATATCAGATCCGTAATGCGGGTTCCAGACCGATGAGCTGTATTCGAGTGTTGGTCTAGCAAATGTTTTGTGTGCTCTAGTTAGTAGTGTGATATTACCAGAGGAAAAAGCTACGTAGGATTAGGTTAACAACCCTTAGTGCCTTTTGGGCTATGTAGTTACAGTGGACTCTAGCACTCTGGTCATTAGAGGTGAGTCCTCCAAGGTCCTTGACGGAGTTTGGATCATCAACAAGGTCTTCACTATTCAGCCCGGTCCTTTATAGATCCAATCTTTTTACAGAGCGGACACACCCTACAAACTCTTTTCGGGGAGCGGAGGGTGGGGTTCTTCAAAGTGAGGAAAACTTGACCGGTGGTACTTCTGCCTGGCACAGAGAGCTGGAAAAGGTAGAGGGGACCAGCCACGCCAAGGAGAGGCAGCCTGAAAGGAATTGGAGAGTGTGTGTGTGTGTATGGATTGGGTTTGACTGGAACTGGAGGGGGGGTGGGCTGCTCCGTCCTCCCTCCCCTTCCCTCCACCCCAAAATTGGAACATGCACTCTCCGCGCGCACGCACACACCCCACACACACTCGGGAAGAATGCCTGGCCGCTTCTCTTTCTGTCCGGGATGAATGGAGGGGGGCGGGCAGAGCACGGGGGTGAGGAGAGGGGGGGGAAGGCGGGAGGGGGGCCCGGATTAGCCCGGGGTCTCCATTCTCTGGCCCCCGTTTGAAGCCGCCGGCTCCCCATACCTCCCATTCACCGCCTCGTCACCCGGGGCAACCGAAGCGGGCATAAAAGGGGATGCGAGGCGGGGCTGGTCCCCCTGCCCTCCCCCCCCTCCACAAACCCACCGGGCCCGGGGTGGCTGCTCCCCAACCTCGCGGGAGGGGTGGTCCTAAGGCACCCCTCGCCCTTCCTTGGCATCCCTTCCCATCTCCAGGGTAACGGGCGACCCCCGTCTCCCTGGGTGGCTTGGGGGGGTCCCTCCCCCTCCTCCTCCTCCTCGCACGGGGATGGAAGGCGGCCTCTCCCCTATTCAGCCGCTCCCCTCCCCCGCCCCTCCCCATCCTATTGTGGGCACAGCTGCCCAGGCCCCCCGAGAAGCCCGGCCGGGCCAAGGGGGAGGCGGGAAAGGCTGCCCCAAGGCGGGCGGGGAGAAGGGGAGACTTTCTTGACAGTGAGACCCCCGTGGGTGGGGGGGAGGAATTGGGGAGGGGGCCTCCCCAAAACGGGTGGGTTTTTTTTTTTTTTTTTTGCATCCAGAGAGGATGGAGAGCACAGCCCGCCCACCTCCCCATTTGGGACCGGACAGAACCAGAACCCACTTTCCCCGGCTCCTTCCAACTTTCTCCCCATCGGCGTTGGGTGGGGAGGGGTCGCCAGGGGCGGGATTGAAAGTTCCTCGGGTAGGAGCCGCGTCCGAGGCAGCAGAAAAAAGCGACCCGGCCGCGCAACTCACCCCCGCGAGGAGGCGAGTTAAAGGCGGCGAAGCTTCCCCAGAGGAGGCGCCCACGAGCGTCCGTCCACACGACCTGCCCAGGATGGCCTTGGACCGCCGCGGAGGCCCCCCTCGCCTCCCTCCCCGCCCCAGGCGAGGCCGGCCCTTGAGCGGGGCCGCCCGGGTGGGCGAGCCCCAGCGAGCCGCCGGCTGAAAAGCGCGCGCGGCCCGGAGCGCAGGGAAAGGAGCTGCGCGGCCGCCGGGACCGCAGGTCAGTCGGGAGCGGGACGGGACGGGACGGGGGCCGCCTCGGGAGAACCGTGGAAAGGGGGGCGTTGGGGGGCGGGTGCCGAGTCAATCACCGGGCTGAAGTGGAGGGGGGCGGTTTCCCACCGCGATTGTGGGGGGGTACTTCTAGGGGAGGGAACCCTCCAGAAGGGGGGGGGTGTTTCCCCAAACTTGGCCCCTTGAAGCCATGTGGACTTGATGTCCCCAAGTCTTCCAGGGGCCAAGTTTGGAGAGACCCCCGTTCTAGGCAGGTAGAGAGCCTCCGCGTTCAAGGGCAGTGTACCCCTCCCCAATGGCAGATCGGATTTCATTGCACCCTAACTGATCCGCAACTCCCTAGAACGGGGGGGGGGTCTCCCGAAACTTGGCTCCTTGAAGCCTTGGGGACTTGAACGACTTGACGTCCACAAGTCTTCCAGGGGCCAAGTTTGGGGAGACCCCCTTCCCCGTTCTAGGGAGTTGCGGATTAATTAGGGTGCAATGAAATCCGATCTGCCATTCGGGGGGTGGGGGTTACACTGCCCTGGAAAGCGGAGGCTCTTCTACCTGCCCTTTTGGGGCCCCGCTGGCGGCGGCTGCCCCCCCCCTCCCCCGCTCCTACCCTCCTTTCGTCGGCATCCGCTCTCTCCCGCCTCCGGAGCT